TTATTAATATACTTTGGGTAAGGGCAAAACCCGTTATATATAATTAATATCTCCCCAACGCAAAAATACGTGTGAATATTATCCTTCCTTTCAAGAGCTTGTTACACATGTACTACAGATGTACACATGTACTACTGCACTTATCAGTTCTTCAAATTTACAGCTTAATTAACTGACATTTGCTCATAATACATTCAACAAAGCTAAACTAAGATGATAAAACGGACTTTGGTGACTTCAGTGAAACAGCTAACTTCAATATATTCACAACGCTTACTTGGAACTAAATCTCCGGTGAGATAAATCTCACGTATGAATTGGCTTCATCTCAGTTCATGTTACAATGTAAATACTTGCTAAATCTAACGTTAAACATTACGCAAATTTTATGGTCCAAAATCTCAAACTATTGAGGGCGCTGTTTAATGTTTTGATCTGGGTCACTGGAACATCTGACCTTGAGCATTTTCTCCCGATGTATAGCCACTAGGCGATTTTTAAACTTGTCTACCTGGATTGAGGTTTTGATGCATTCTCAACCAATCAGCGTTGTTTGGTGTCAAACAGTGAAATATGGGTGTTTATAGATTTCAAAATGGGGGCGTCCAGGCAGTAGTGGCGGCTGGGTTTTAAAAATCATTTTTCTTGTTTACGTTGGTCCTAGTAGAGACCACAACAAGCCATGAATAACAGTTTTATGGATTATGAGTCATCAGAAATACTGGATTGTCGGGCATAATGATTATCCAAATGTCCGCATGGGAATTATATTATGACATGTACATGTACTTCTGGAACATGTAGCTTTGTAATTGTCTGTGTGTCAGTTTCAAGAATGATTTTGATTAAGATGACTGAATGAAGCCTAGAAAAGTTGGATTCCAACCCTAACATAGTTTAACCCCAGTAGAGGCCAACTCTAATGGAGGCTAACCCTAACAGAAGCCAACCGTAACCGGGGGGTGCGGTTCAATTATAGATGGTCAAGTACAGCCTGATCACTAACTCACCAAGCCGCAGATATATGCACAGGTGACTCAAATTTCTTGAAACACTCTCCTTGGGGATTTATTCCACTCTTGTGTTGGAAGTGCCCTATTTTGGGCTCATGTTTTCAACTCTTGGGCTGGAGTCTGTCAACTGGAGTAATATCCACGGTGAACTTTCATGTCAAAGCATGGCTAAGTTTCATGTTTTTCGTGCACTTGGACTCTGCAGTTGGCAGTGTCCAGCCGGGGCACCCTTTCCCATTATCAGCAGCAACAGCTAGTTGAAGCTGCTCTTGTGAAAAAGTGTTATTTTCAGATACTAACTGCACATTGTGTTTGCAATATAGGCCTAGGCGGTCTGCAGTAGTTTGTGCACATTTGCTATTGGCTGACCTTGAGCATTTTCTCCCCATATACAGCCATTAGATGATTTTTTCCATTTTTCTCTGGAATCAAGGTTTCTGATGCATTCTCAACCATTCAGTGTTGTTTGGTGTCAAACAGTAAAAAATTGATGTTTATAAAGAATTAGTCCACTAATTCAAGTGAGAATTTCTGGCAAGCTCATTAGTGCCCCCTTGAAAGAGAAGATTGTTTGGCCCCCAAAATGGTGAGATTGTGTAAATCGTTGCCAGGATCAACTCCCCAGGTCTTTCATATAAGAGCAGATCGAATGGCAACAAGCTACAGTTGGAAAATGGTAATAGGTGCCTGAGAAAGTTGAAGATTGCCACTTGAAAAATGGCTGCAATCAGACTCCGGAAAACTCCCTTTTCTGGAGGTGATTTTGTTTTGTGGGAATAATTGAAAATGTAATTGGTTAACCCACAAAAAATTGTAAGAATTAAGGACCAGACAGTGATTTAATTTGTGTTTCAGAAGTCTCAGGGATGTTGTTGTGCATGTTATTGAGCCCTGAACAGTGCTAATTTTACACTGTTTTCAATGGGGCTTGAATTAGTGGACTGTACCCTTGTGTCTGAACATTGTTGTGTCAGTCGACCGGGTCATTAACTCAATTTCTAATCGGTGGTGTGCGTCAAAACGACCCGTAACCCTTGGACCTTATATTGTTCGTCAAACGGAAG